GGGCAGCCAAAAATACCTACTGTCAACGACCGGCGCGTAGTCGCGACGGCCAATGGCTCCTTCTTCGGGAGCTCGCCGTCCTGCCCGGGGTGGGGCTGGCCAGGCAGGAGCGGCCTTCCAGGAGCTTGCAGGCTCTGCCCGTGGCGGGGCAGGCAGGGCTCCAGCCTGGGTCGGACCCAGGCGAGGTGGTGACCGGTGCTGCGGACCAGTTGGGTTCGCCTCTGCCTTGGGGCTGTGATGCCTCGCTGGGAAGTCTTGAGCCGAAATGGCGACGGGCGGGGGAGACGGGAAAGAGGATGGATGATGCTGCTGCTGATGATGATGCTGATGATGATGCTGATGCTGATGCTGATGCTGATGATGATGATGATGATGATGATGATGATGATGATGATGATGATGATGATGATGACGATGATGATGACGACGACGACGACGACGATGGTGATGACGAGGTTGAGGAGGACGAGGAGGAGGAGGAGGAAGGCGCCCCCTTCTCCTCCTCCTCCTCCTCCTCCTCCCTCCTCCTCCTCCTCCTCCTCCTCCTCCTCCTCCTCCTCCTCCTGCCCTACCTCCTCCTCCCCCCCCCCTCCTCTCCTACCTCCTACCTCCTTACCTTCCTCCTCCTACTCCTCCCTCCTCCTACTCACCTCCTCCTCCTCCTCCTCCTCATCCTCTCCTCCTCCCCCTCCTCCTTCCCCCTCATCCTCCTTCCTATCCAGACGGGGCAGGAGGAAGGAGAGAGGAGGGATAGGAGGAGGAGGAGGAGGCGGAGGAGGAGGAGGAGGAGGAGGAAAACGCCTCTTCTCCTCCTCCTCCTCCTCAAGTTCCTTCTATCCGACCGTCTCTCTTATCTTCCGTCTCCCCTGCTCCCCTTCGTCTCCTCCAGTTCTGTTTCATGTTTTTTCTTTTTTTCATCCCTCTCTCCCCCTCCTTCCTCCTCCTCCTCCTCCTCCTCCTCCTTCTCCCCTCTTACTCCTCCTCCTTCCTCCTCCTCCTCCTCTTCCCATCTCTTTCTTTCCGCCTCTTCCTCCTCTCCCTCCTCTCCTCCTCCTCCTCCTCCTCCTCCTCCTCCTCCTCCTTCGTGTTGCCTTTCTTTCCTCTCCTCATGCGTCGTTGCTGCCTTTCCTCTTTCTCCTCTTACACCCTTGGGCCCAAGCCCATCGCCTGCACGAATTCTTGTGGCGCTCGAGCTCGCGGTAATGGCGAGCGATGACGCCAATGTCGTCCCACTCGCGCGTAGTTTCCTCTGAGAGGAGGGGCTGGGAAGACGAATATCATCCTCATTATCCTCCTTGTCTGGGTCCGCTCCCTCACCCCAGTGCAATTGTCCGGTGAACGACACAGGAGGCCCTGAAGACCACCTCTCCTGTCTCAGATGTAGCGTGAATGCGCGTAACTTGCCCTCCTCCTCTCCCTCTCCGTCTCTCCATGCCCCTGCCTCATGACATAGATGCTTTTCGCCCGGGTTGGCTCTTGCCCGGTTCGTTTCGCCCGGGTTTGCTTTCGCCCGGTTGGCTTTTGCCCGGGTTCGCTTCCGCCCGGGTTGGCTTTCGCCTGGGTTGGCTTTCGCCCAGGTTGGCTTTCGCCCGGGTTTGCTTTCGCCCAGGTCGGCTTTCGCCTGGATTGGACCTTGCCCGGCTGGCTTTCGCCCGGATTGGCTTTCGCCCGTGTTGCTTTCACCCGTGTTAGCTTTCGCCCGGGTTGGCTTTCGCCCGGGGTTGGCTTTCGCCCGGGTGGGGTTTTGCCCGGGTTGGTCTTTCGCCCAGGATGGCTTTCGCCTGGGTTCGTTTTCGCCCTCCTCTTCCTCCTCTCCTCCTCCCGCAACTGTCCTTTTATGCTGCTGCTGCTGCTCCTTTTCCTGCTCTCCTCCTCTGGCTCCTCTTGCCCGCGGCCGTTTGACTGGAGCTCAGTTGCGTTCCCGCAGCAGCACTGGAATTACAACGCCCCGCCTTCTTCCCGGACGGCCTGACCTCAACATGCACACCGCCTTGCTCAAGCCCCCCTGAGGCCCAGGGTCAGTCAGCGCTACGTGCCCCCCTGGCGAAGCTAGACGCGTGTTCACTCGATCATGCCCCACACTCTGGCGTCCCGCCCGCCCGACCCGACCCGCCCGTCAGGGTCTGCCCGACCCGACCCGGCCCGCCCCGCCTGTTAGGGTACGCCCGCCCGACCCGACCCGTCCGTTCGGGCTCACGCGTGCTCACTCAAGCGCGCCCCACACTTTAATGTCCTGCCTGCCCGACGCGACCCGCCCGTTAGGGTCCGCCCGACGCGACCCGACCCGTCCCGCCCGAAAGGGTCCGCCCGCCCGACACGACCCGCCCGTTAGGGCTCACGCGTGCTCGCGCCGGCGCGCCCCACACTCTAGTGTCCCGCCCGCCCGACCCGACACGCCTGTTAGGGTCCGCCCGACCCGACCCGACCCGTCCTTCCCGTCAGGGTCCACCCGTCCGATCCGAGCCGCCCGTTCGGGTTCACGCGTGCTCGCTCCAGCGCGCCCCACACTTTAGTGTCCTGCCCGCCCGACCCGACCCGCCCGTTAGGGTCCGCCCGACCTGGCCCGCTGCGTCCCGCCTGTTACGGTCCGCCCGCCCGACCCGACCCTCCCGTTCCGGCTCACGTGCTCACTCGAGCGCGCCTCACACTTTGGTGCCCCGCCCGACCCGACCTGACCCGCCCGTCAGGGTCAGCCCGACCCGATCTGACCCGATCCGTCCGTCAGGGTCCGCCCGCCCGACCCGACCCGCCCGTCCGGGCTCACGCGTGCTCACTCGAGCGCGCCTTACACTTTAACGCCCCGCCGACCCGACCCGCCCGACCCGCCCGCCCGACCCGACCCGCCCCGTCCCGCCCGTTAAGTTCCGCCCGCCCGACCCGACCCGCCCGTTCGGGTTCACGAATGCTCGCTCGTGCGTGCCCCACACTTTAATGCCCCGCCCGCCCGACCCGACCGCCCGTTACGGTCCGCCCGCTCGACCCAGCCCGCCCGTTCGGGCTCACGCGTGCTCGCTCCAACGCTCCCGACACTTTAGCGTCCCGCCTGCCCGACCCGAGCCGCCCGTTAGGGTCCGCCCAAGCCGACCCGACCCGGCCCGCCCGTTAGGGTCCACCTGCCCGACCCGACCCGCCCGTTAGGTTTCACGCGTGCTCACTCCAGCGCGCCCCATACTTTAGTGCCCCGCCCGACCCGACCCGCCCGTTAGGGTCAGCCCGACCCGATCAGCCCGACCCGATCCGACCCGACCCGCCTGTTAGGGTCCGCCCGCCCGACCCGACCCGCCCGTTAGGGTTCACGCGTGCCCACTCGAGCGCGCCCCACAGTTCAGTGTTCCGCCCGTTCGACCCGACCCGACCTGTTCGGGTCCGCCCGACCCGACTCGATCCGACCCGCCCGTTAGGGTCCGCCCGCCCGACCCGACCCGCCCGTTAGGGTACACGCGTGCTCACTCGAACGCGCCCCACATAGACAATGTCCCGCCTGCCCGACCCGACCCGTGCCGCCCGAAAGGGTCCGCCCGCCCGACCCGACCCGCCCGTTGGAGCCCGCGCCCAACCCCGGCGAAAGCCAACCCCAACGAAACGAAGCTCGGCGAAAGCCAATCCTGGCGAAAGCCAACCCCGGCGAAAACCAACCCCGGCGAAAACCAACCCCGGCGAAACGAAACCCGGCGAAAGCCAACCCACCCCGGCGAAAGCCAACCCTGGCGAAAGCCAATCCTGGCGAAAGCCAACCCTGGCGAAAGCCAACCCCGGCGAAACGAAGCCCGGCGAAAGCCAACCCTGGCGAAAGCAAGCCCGGTGAAACGAAGCCCAGCGAAACTACGCCCGGCGAAAACCAACCCCGGCGAAAAACATCCGTGCCCTCAACGTCTCCATCCCTGCCTGCGTCCCTTAAGCGACTCTGGATAGCCAACGACTTCATCGAGCTCCCTTGCCCCCTGCCCGCGGCAGTAGGAGGAGAAACGTGAAGAGGAAGGGGGACTGTGCATGGGAGGGCTATGAAGGACAGCCCAAAGCATCTCAATATCAAGAGAAGGAAGAGTGAGACGAGGAGAAAGGATGGACTGGGGGAGGGAGCAGAGGAAGCGAGAGCAAGGGGGAAGGGAAGGCAGAGACGCGAGAGGACGCAAGAAGGAGATGGAATGGGGGGGGGGGCAAGGGAAGCGAGAGGAAGGAGACACGGCCAGAGCGGTGGGTGAGCGGGTGACCCGCGGGGTCCCGACCAACGATTCGCTGAAACCCAGCAGCTCCCCCTGGACCCGTCCCGGGGTAGGAGGAGGAGGATGAGGAGGAGGAGGAGGAAGAGGAGGAGGAAGAAGGAGGAGGATGAGGAGGAGGAAAGGAGGAAAGGAGGAGGGGGAGGAGGAGGAAGGAGGAGGAGGATGAGGGAGGGGAGGATGAGGAGGGAGGAGGAGAAGAGAACGAAGCAGGATGATGAGGGGAGGAGGAGGAGGAGGAGAGGAAGGAGGAGGAGGGAGAGGTAGGAGGAGGAGGAGGAGGAGGGAGTGAGGATTGGGGGAGGAGGAAGAGGAGGAGGAGGAGGATGGAGTAAGGATGAAGGAGGAGGGATGGGGAGGTACGAAGGAAGAGGAGTAGGATGAGGAGGAGGAGGATGAGGAGGAGGAGGAGGAGGAGGAGGAGAAAGAGGCTGGCATCCCATCCTGGACTGGTGTCTGACGGCCTGGGGGCCCGCAGCCGGCACCCGAGGGCCGCGATCGCGGAACGATCGCGCCGCGGCGACCTATTTGTTCGAGTGCTCCATGGAGAGGGGGGGGGGGAAGCAGCCCGCTCGGTCTGCCTCCGCCTCCTCCTCCTCCTCCTCCTCCTCCCCCTCCTCCTCCTCCCCCTCCTCCTCCGCCTCCTCCTCCCTCCTCCTCCTCCTCCTCCTCCTCCTCCTCCTCCTCTCCTCCTCCTCCTCCTCGGCCTCCTCCTCTCCCTTCTCCTCGTCCTCCTTGTCCTCCTCCTCCTCCGCCTCCTCCTCCTCCTCCTCCTTCTTTCGTCGCAGACGCCAGACGAGCCCTTCTGTCGAGAGGGCACGGAGGCACGAGGCAGAGCGGCGGCGGCGTCTGGGAATGGCACGCTGCGCGGCCTCGGGCGGGCGAGCTACAAGCTGGGGACCCGCCGCAGGCTTCGTCTGAGGTCGACCTCGACCGCCTCCTCCTTCTGATTCTGGCGCTGCGGACCTGTCCTCTCCAGTGCTCCTCCTTTCTCCTCTGGCCTCGACGTGCAATTTCTGATGAAGCATGGTTCAGAACTAATCGAGTTTCGCCACGCGCCCCCCCGAGGTCGAGAGCGGGGGAAAGAGGGAAGAAAGAGGGGGGGGAGGAAGCGCGAGGGACGGTGGGCGATATCATATTCGCGCCCACGGCGTTTATATCTGTGGATTGATGTTCTTTGTTTTGTTTCCTCTTTTGTCTGTATACATATATATATATATATATTAATATATATATATATATATATATGTATAGGCATTAACATATGTATATATATATATGTATATAAAGGGGGCACATTAAGCTGCTCTGACATATGCGCCACCTGGCGTGCCCTGAGATACGAGTTGGAGTGTCCTCAGGTCCCTTCGACTTCTCAGTGCAGTGCGCGGTAGCAAACTTATTCGTGGGCATAAGTTCCCAGATCTCCTGGGCGCTCCCGAGCTCTCTCGGGGTCGGTCGCGTGAGTTCCAGAGGCCAGGGGGCGGTCCCCAGGCAGACCAAGAGGACCCCAAGAGGCCACCAAGACGGTCCACGATGGCCCACGGACGGCCCAAGAGGCCCCCAGCACGCTCCAAGAAGGCTCCCAAGAGGGTCCCGAGATTCCCAAATCATTGATTTCCCATCGTTTTGAAGGATTTTAGTACTCTCGTCTTTTCGGATTTTCGACGCTCCAGGACGGCCCAAGAAGCCTTTAATAGCGCTCCCAGACGGTCCAAGATGGCTCCAAGACGGCCCAATAGGCCCCCGAGACGGCCCAATAAGGCCCCAAGAGAGACCCAAGAGAGGCTCTGGAGGGGGAACACGAACCTACGTTTTCAGTCCTTCGCCCCAATATGGCCTCCCAGACCGCCAGCAGGCCCCCAAGAGGCCCCTCAAAGCCCCAGGAGGCCCCCTAAGAGGCCCAAATCAGGCCCCCACAAGAGGGCCTTCACAACCAAGTTGCTGCTACTTGCGGCTGCCAGAACAACCTTTTCGCATGATAATTCTTCGCAGTTCAGCATCACAAATGGGGGTCCTTCAGAGCATTCTTGGTGCAACTCGCGGATAACGGAACGGTCGTTTCGCTGGAGACTTCCTTGCAATTCAGCAGCACAAGGGAATCCTTCAGAGCAGTCTTGTTGCAACTTGCGGAGGCCCCAGGAGGCCCCAGGACGTTCCAAGTATAGGTTTCGGGGAGCGTTTTTCGGCCGTCCCGCCCCCAAGAAGGCCTAGGAGGCATTGTTCATTATTTGGATCTGTGTCTGGGGAGCGTTTACGACGCCCCCGCCTCCAGACGGCCCCAAGGGACACATTTCTCTTATGGGATGTGTTCAGGGTGCGTTTTTCGGCGCCCCCTCCTCCAGACGGCCCCCGGACACTGGATATGTGTTCGGGGAGCGCTTTTCGGCCCCTGCGCTCCCAGGAAGCCCCAGGAAGCTCCAGGAGACTCTGTTCTGTAAGGGGATCTGTGCTCGAGGGGCGCCTTTGGGCCCCACCGGTCCCAGGAGGCCCCAGGAAGTCCCAAGAGGCACCGTACTGCTGTACAAGCATTCGTGTTCGGGGAGTCCTGTTCGGCTCCCCCGTAGGGTTCGCCCCCCAGAGGCATCGCCGCCCCTCTCCTGGGTCTCGGATCCGTTGGGTGTGTGTTAGGTGTGCTCCTGTACATTCCCTCTCTCCTGGGGCTCGGTTCCTTGATGTTTACGCATGTTTCTGTAGATCGCCCCTCGGCTGGGGCTCGGATCCTTTGTGTTTTAGGCCTGTTCCTATCGATTGCCCCTGGCCTGGGGCTCGAACCCTTTTTGTGTTTCACGTATGCTCCTATGCGCCTGTATACTGACCCTGTCCTGTGGCTCGAACCCTTCGAGTTTCGAGTCATTACTGTTATCCAAAGACGGCGAGCTGAAAATGGGAACGTGCCTCGGGAGAGGGGTTGGCTCGACCTCCTTGGGCAGGAGATCTGGGTGAGGGAATATCGCCCCCTTCCAACATAGTTCCACTAGGAGGGGGTGGCATCAGGATGGATGCATGTGGCATGTAGAAGCATGGCGCATGAGGGTAAACTGTTGTTGTTGCTGTTGCTGTTGTTGTTGAGCTCGCAACTCGGAATAATAATTCTCGTTGCCAATTGTATGTTTCAGTTCAAGTGCCTCCCCTGGGGCTCGTACCCTCTTCTAATGAGAGAGAAGCGTTGGGCTCAAACTGTGCCCTTGGCCCTCGGTTTACAGCAGCAACGGATACCGCCTGAAACATCGCCCTCTCGCGCGGGACGTCCTCACAACTTATTCCAAGGGTCGCGTTCTCGCGTAGCATCCCCTCGCAATCTATTGAAACGCCGCACCCCCAACACTCAGGCATCACGCTCTCACTCTGGAATTCACTACGATTTACCTGAAGATCGCGCTGTCGCTCGAATTCCCCGCGATTCATGCACGGCTGACGCTTCAACGACCTGCCCGCTCACCCCGCCGCCTAAACCTGACACGCTAGTCTTGTTCTACCGCTTGTTTTTCTCCTCCTAACCCCCCTCCTGTCAATCTCTGTCGTGCTCCGTCCTTCTCCCTCTCCACGCTTCCCTCCCTCCTCCTTTCCCCTGCTTTAGGGGCTGCGCCGATGACACGTTGCAGGTCGTGAAAATATATCCCCAAGGGGGTATGATCGAAAACGACGAGGGCGGGTATCGGGGGTTTAGGATATACATGTCGACTGACACACGAGCAGGTAAGAACGAACAATCTCAAAATGATGGTTGAATTCTAATTTCTTAGGTAATTATTATTGATCCACCCCCCTAGGTGCACCTGGTGTTTTTTCAATGTGTTCCTCCTGGGGCTCGCATCCCGCTTTTTACAAGGCAAAATGTTCCCCCTCAGATTGCGTCCCTGGCCTTCGACTTACAACAACAACGGCTCCCACCTGATACCTCTTCACAATTCATTTCGAAATCGCACTCTCGTGCGGGACTTCGTCATAATAATTCTCGCAGGAATAGCGCTCTGGCGTGGCTCTTGATGGGAATTTCTGTAAGCGCCGCCGTGTCCCCAAGACTCAAGAATCACGGTCTCGTTTTGGATACCTGGACAATTTACCGTGGAATCGCGCTGTGACAGAAGCTTCACTGACTGCGATTCATGTTCGCTCGACGCTTCGGTGACCCGCCCGCTCGACCCGGCCGTCCGAACCCGCCCGCCGTTCTGGTTCTGCCGCTTGTGCTCCTGCTCCTGACCCCCGTCCTGCAAATCTCTCTCGTGCTCCATTCTTCTCCCTCCCCCTTGTCTCGTCCCTCCTCCCTTCCTTCCCCTGTTTTAGAGGGTCTGTGCCAACTGCACGTGGCAAATAAGGAAGAAGTACGCGCAAGGAGAATAAGATGAAAGACGAAGACGGCTGGCATTGAGAATTTGGACATTCGTATTGAATGGTACGCGAGGAGATAAGAGCAAACCGTCTTAACACCTTTGTTGTTGCTGTTGTTGTTGTTGTTGTTGCCGTTGCTGTTTTTTTGGTGGTCATGATTGCTTCTTTGTTTCAGGTACGGCAATTCGCAAGTTTTTGCGCATACTTGTTTTGGTTGTCCATGTTGCAAAAGTCAATCGATATCCCACGTCTTGAAGGCATCAAGGAAGCTTGCTTCCACCAATTTTCGGCATCTGGGCTTCCGTTTTTGGGCCCCAAACTCTTTGAAAAACAACCTTGGATACAGGGCCAGCCTCGGGGAAACGGCCGAGAGGTCTGCGTGCCAATGCCTAGAACAAGCCACACTGCTGGATGTCTGGGTTTGACGAGCGAAACCGAAATCAGACTAACGACGGATGGAGGGACGGATGCTGCGTCGATTCTAATAAAACGGAGGAGGGGCCAGGAGCGATATTTTCTTACCTCACAGATGTGGCCACATCGATTTTGCCCTTGTGGCTGTTCTCGTCGTTCCGCGGGCCAGCTCAGTCATCGCGGACTGTCTCCGTCTGCAGGCCCTTGAAGCTCTCCACTGCCACGTGCTGGACCAGCGTGAACGTCTTGTCTGTAGCGTCCTCATCCTCATTGCGCTTGCGAGCCATGCGAACCCGGATGCGCTTCGGGATGTTGCGGATGCCATTGCTCCAGACAAACTTGTTCAACTTAGTGTCGATACGCACGTCCTTCGTCGTCATCGCCCGGGTCGCGAACCTGCGGATCTCGCGGATGGCCCTGGTGGCGCGCTTCTTGAACTGTACCTGGGCAAGACTTCCGCAGGGGAATCAGGAGGCGAAGGAGAGAGAAGGACGAGGTGGATGAGGAGGGGGTGAGGAGGAGCATGAGCAAGAATGAGAGGAACATGATGATTATGATGATGATGATGATGATGATGATGATGATGATGATGATGATGATGATGATGATGATGATGATGATGATGATGATGATGATGCTGGAGGAGGAGGAGGAGCAAGAGGAGAGGGAGCGTGAGGCGGAGTAGTACGAGGAGGGCGAGGACCAGGACGAGGGGAATACGTAACATGAGAAGAATTAGCAGGATCACGAATGATGATGACGAGGAGGAGGAGGGGGGAAGGAGGATGAGGGGGTGAAGGTGGTGGAAGACACTCTCGTACATCTCCCCCCCACTGTCCAATATGTTCCCTGTCCCTCTGCCCCTCCCCTGCTCCCCTCACCTCCCGCCCTTCCCCCTCGCCACATCTCCCCGTCCCCCCCTCCATTGACCCCCGCCCTCTCCCCGGTGCACCCCGTCCCCTCCCATTCCCTCCCTCCTCCTCCTCCTCCTCCTCCTTCCTCCCTCTCCGCCTCCTCCTTCTCCTCGCTCCTCCTCGCTCCTCCTCCTCCTCGCTTCTCCTCTTCCTCTCCTCGCTCCTCCTCCTCCTCCTCCTCCTCTTCCTCCTCCTCCTCCTCCTCCTCCTCCTCCTCCTCGCTCCTCCTCGCTCCTCGCTTCTCGCTCCTCGCTCCTCGCTCCTCCTCCTCCTCCTCCCTTCCCGCGGAGGAGCTATCCCTCCTCAGGCGAAGCCTTGTGCAACAACTTGTGCATGTGGATCGTGTAGTCCCGCGTCACCGGCTCCAGGCCCTTGCGGCTCTTCTTCGTGCTGGGCGCCATTGTCGCCAAAGGCCACCGCTCCCGCCGCAGCCGCACACTGGTAACCACAGCCACTGACAGGCTCGAGCCGCAGTGCTAAGAAGAGGAGAGATATATGACCTTGGCGCTATTGATAGTGGCGATTATGGTGGCGATGATGTTGATGACGGTCATGATGACGACGTTGACGACGATGGTGATGATGATGAGGATCTGATGATGATGATGATGATGATGATGATGATGATGATGCTGGCACTGATGCCAATTATGATGCTGCTCATGATGATGATGATGATGATGATGATGATGATGCTGATGATGATGATGATGATGATGATGATGATGATGATGCTGATAAGTATGATGATGACGATGATGACGATTATGTTGATGAAGTGAATATTACGACGATGGCGACACACCTACGACGTTGATGATGATGGTGGTGATGGTAATGATGATAATTCTGGTGATGAGGATGAGGATGCTGCCGATGATGAGATTGATGTTGATGATTCTGATGCTGATGATGCTGCTGATGATGATGGTGATAGCAATGCTGATTCTGATACTGATGGTGGTGATGCTGCTGCTGATGCTGCTGCTGATGATGATGTTGATGATGACGATGATAAGGATGATGACAATGATGATGCTGATGATGATGGTGATGCTAATGAAGATGGTGATGATGATGGAGGCGGTGTCAATTATGGTAGTGACGATGCTGATGCTGCTGCTGATGATGACGATCGTGGTGACGATCACGATGAACCGCTTATGTTGATGATGGTGATGATGGTCGCGGCTGAGCTCTGATCGAGCGCCGCGCGCGTTTACGAAGCAACACGAGGCGGCCCGACGGCAACAAAAACGAGCACCGCGGCCTGGGCGTCTTCTGCGCGTCTCAATGGACACTGCACGTGTCTTCTGGATGGGCGGGCGTAGACTCTTTTGCACTCCTGCCGCATTTGCACCAAGACGCGATCATCCACAACAATCGGTTGGACAACAACCCCCTCCAATAAACGCTCTTGAACGAAATGACCTGGGAACCACTCCGCGCGGGCGTAAGCCTGCAACAACGGCGGCTGCCCCACCCTCTCGAAGGCCGAAAAAGGCCTCCCGGGGTGATCCGCTGATCGACTTGACTGGATGGATTTTCAAGCAATGCCCGAAACAAGAGACGCCGACACGACACAACCACTCGTATACCCTCTCGAAAGCCGAGAGGGGCCTCAAGGAATGATCCGCTAATCGACGTGACGATATTGGCTTTCAATCAATGCCCGAAAGAAGAGAAGCGGGCACGAGAGAGTTTCCTTACACGGCTCGTGTACGCGAGCATCAACCACGGTGAAGGCCTTCTAGCCCAGGGCCGCGGCCAGACGGGCGGGGTTCGCAACATGACGGCCCGCGGGGTGAAACATCCAAGCAGCATGCGCTCCAATCGCTGGCGCTTCCTTGGCGGGGGTCGGAAATCGGGCCACAAGTCCGAGGGTGAACAATCAGAGGGACCAGCTCAGGGAGAGAAACATGGAGCTGGATCCGGCGATGCATCACCGATAGATATCGGAGACAAGCCCCCGATAGCGAATCCGAACGCTCCTGGGCGGGCTGGACTGTCGGGCCGCTATCGGCGATGAGTGGGCGATTGGGGGTCGATGGAACGTTTTCTTATTCGGCGTTTCGGCATTGGGCGGAAGGAGGGGGGGGGGTCTGGCTCCGGACCTCTGCTTAATGCGGCTGTTGGCTCCCGCCCCCTTCCCTCCTTTTTTTCCACTGGCCAGTGCGTCCTGTGGGGGAGGCTCCAGCTGATTGGAAACCAGGCGCCAAAAACCAACCAAGATCTACTCCATGGGGGGGGGAGGGGTGTGGGTGCGAGGGCCCTCGCCGATCGGCAAAACAGTGAATAAGAAAACGATCACCAGCGGACGGGCGGGCCGCACTGCTTCACCATACACTTACCTACGCCCATCCTGCAGACAACTGGCCTGAGCCTCGTTTTTGGATGGGCTGCTGAGGGTACGTGAAGCGTCAAGAGTTGGATCCGTCTCCACCCGTAGCAGATCTGCATGTTCCTCTGTGACCCGTGTTGCATCTAGCAACGTGTGAGCTTTCTCCGACCCCCCCCTTCCTGAGCCTCATCCTCTCTCTGCCTCCCCCACCCTCCCCACTGGAGGTCTCCGGAGGTCCACAGGAGTCCCTGGAAACCTCACCGGATGGCCCCAGAAGCTCGAAGTCTGCCCCAGAAAAGCTTTCCACAAGGGCCGAGAACCTCGGCAGACCTCGATCCGACACTTGTTTTTCGGCGGTGGACAGACCTCCCTTTAGTAGACCTCCCTTTAGTGAAAACGGCCTGGGACCGAAACCGACGGACCTGGACCCGCAAAAATGACGGCCGCGACGCCCTCTCGCGAACCGAAAACGGCCAATTCCTGAATCGACGTGTCAGGGTAGGAGGTCTGTCCACCCCCGAGTTATGGAGAGGGGCACCACCGTGCTGTCGGGAGAATTCGGCGGCGCATCCGGTCCAGCTCGCAACAGGAGGGGGCAAGGCATGGGGGACGGGCGGAGCGCCGCCGTGGGGCCCAGGCCCGGCACCGCGCTGCGTGAGCGTCGCCTGCGCGCCTCTCCTGCCCGCCGTGTCCCCCACGTAGGGAGCAAGCCAGGCTCACCCTGCTGACCTGGTCAACTGGCACGAGACCACAACCATTGGGGATAAAGAGAAGCGGCATCGTCCCAACAGACACCCACCACCATCTCGCCCACGAGCTCAACCACGACAAACACAAAAGTCATCGAGACTGATTGCCCCTTGCCCCCCCCCTCGTGTGCCTCCCCCTGGCCTGGGTCGATGTTCCCGCCCCCCCCCGCCCGAACCATTGCGTCCTGCCGGCGGCCCCTTTAACCCCTGCCGCTCTCGCGCTGGCCCTCGGCATCGCCTTCGCCCTCGCGCGCTCTTCCATCCTCCTTCCCGTCTCCTCCTCCTCCTCCTCCTCCTCCTCCTTCTCCTTCTCCTCCTCGTCTTCCGTCCGGTCCTGGTCCCTGACCACCGCGATCAGCGACTTGTTCCTGCTTGACAGCTCCTTGTTGTCCTGCCCAGGGGCCGGCGGGGTGTTCTATGGTCTTCAGTTGTGCTTCTCGTGTGGTCGCGAGGGAGGAGGAACATAAAGAGGGGTGGGGAGCCTCCGATCAGGGGGGAGGCGAAGAGGGCGGGTGGATGGGGTGTAAGATCAGGGAGGGGGAGGGCAGGATGGTAGATACAAGGAATGATTGGCTTTCTTTTGGTACATCACGGTCATTCGCAAAGAACCGTCTCGACAGCACTTCCTCATCCTGACGCGTCCTGTGCCCACGTTGAAGCTCCTCCGATCAGGCAACCACCTTGTTTAGAAACTCATTCCAGAACCGCCCCCGACTTTCAATCCACTCGTATTTGGTAAAAAAACATGTGGATCGAAACAATCGGGATAATCGTACTCGTCAGAAGTACAATATCTCCTCTGCGCATATCTACACTGATCGGGTGGGCAAGGTCGGAGGGACAATCTGGCGGTTGTGAAACCACGATGTCCAATATGTAGATCTCGGTGTCCCCGATGGTAATAACGGCGGACATTTTAATATTGGGAGGCGCGATGCGCCACATCCCAATCGCCAGGTGCTCCACCCAGAGCCGAGAAATTCCGCCAGAGGTGAAACTGTCTGCGATCGCTACCTCTGTCGGAGTATGAGAGAAGCGCCCGATCAGTCCTGCTAAGCACTGGTCTCTCATGGGTAGAACTGCCATTTCGAACTTTAGTCGTCGGGCACTCCTTTCCCTCTGCAGAACCGTTGCCAGAAAAGCCACTTAGTCAGTGAAAATGTCGGTCCTGGTATGGTACATGTTCAAATCGGACATGCCAAACATGTCCTGGGCCCTGGGCGGCTAATCGCCGCATGTGGTGGGCTCGCCGAGACGGAGAGTTGTGAATTTGTAACTCCGATGTGCTTGGTAAACAAATGTTGGCTCCGCGCGGCATCTGGAGTATGACATCCTTCCTGACTTACCCGATGAGTCGTGAAAACGTGACAAACGCCTCCGACCTTTGAAGCATCGTCTGGATGTTCCTCGTCGCGCTTGTTCACTCGCGCGTGGTATTTTTGTGCTCCATTCGTTCAAAGCGTTGCGCTAAAATCTTCAGGCTATGAAATTTTGGCATTGCCATGGATTTCGTCGCCGACGAAACCGTGCCGCGCAGGATGTGTTCACGCAGAGAAGTGCAAACCGGCCATCTTCTTGTACCGCTGGGTCTTGTCGATGAATGTGACGGCCTGGGCCTGGTCGATGACTGTGCTGGCCTGCTGAGAACTGTTGAGCGTCGACTTGCGTCGCAGTGGGTTCCTCGCGTCTTCAGCAGCTGCAGCAGACTGCGCGGGGCGCCGCGCAGCGGATCATAATGCTTAGCGCTGCGAGCTTCTTCGCCCATCCCCGCCGGCGCCAGTGCAAATGAGGTCTTTTTCAAGTCGCCCTTGAGTGTCAACTGGCGGGCGAGCAAGAGCTGCGTTTCAGCAGTGCGCAGCTGATGCCCATGTGCGTGCAAAGGAACTCGTGGCATTGGATGTCCTTCAATTGCCTCTCTACCCGATGCCGGTTCCACGCGCCGGCGCCATCCGCGTGGACTGTCCGCGCCATGAACCGCTGTGAGACATGGTCAACGGAATCGTTCTGCGCTCCTGGAGAGACCCACCCCGGCGATCGTCGGTCTAGTGCCCACTGCCGCGATGATGGGGGGCCCACCAGTGCCGCGCGTAGATTTCCAGGGCTGCGCGGAGAGTAGGTGGGACCTCAGCCTCGGGAGTCTTGGAACAAAAAACTGTTGTGGTCCCTGCAAATGGCGCCAGACATTGGCTGGGCGTTGAATCGTGCTCTGCGCTGTGCCCTCGCCGCGATTCCCGCGCGGCTCGCCGCTTCCGAGGATCAGCAAATGGCTGCCCCGTAATTCGATTGCCAGTCCATCCCTCGCGGCAAATGCGATGCGGCGAATCCATGGCGCGGCGCGGCAACGTCGATCGAATCCCACGGCGAGCGCCTCGCGAAGATGTGCTCCCG